AGCCAGCGAGGGCTTCAGGAGGGAGATGGATGAACGTGGTTTGGAGCTAGAGTCCTTATCTGACCACCCCTCCCCCCCATCCTGCCGGTGCCACTCCCACTCACGCACCTGTGGCTTTCACACTCTTTTAAGGCAGAAAACGAAACGGTTAGAGCCAGCCCACGGCAGCCAGGAAATCTGTGTTCCCCTCCCTTCTCTACCACTCGCTCCCGGAGTCACTCCCGCTCCGTGCCTCAGTTCCCCTTCTGTAGCGCTGGGCTAATAAACCCTCCTTTGCAGAGGGCACAGCCATGATGAGAGGTGGGATGAAAGTCCAAAGAGCCCTTACAATGAATTGGCATTCAGGAATGCAGCGAGTACGTACTAGCACAGTTGTGAATACACAACAGTTGTGTGGGGGTGGAGGGAGGGGGAAGGTTGCGAACCTGAAGGCCCCCCCCGGAGTGAAGCACCATTCCCTGCATACCTGGTGTTATTGAAACCAGCGTGTCAACACACAGCTCTTCCAAGCCAAAAAGGGCAAGAGCCCTTGACTAACTCTCCACATGCACTAGCTCTACACAAGCTTTGCTTATGGTTCCTGTCCTGGGAAGCACCAAACCCCTTCCCCACCCATCAGGGTCAGTGGCACGCGTGGGAAGCATAACAAGTCTTGTCTGTGTGGCGGGGGGCTGACCAAAGCGCAAGGCATTTTGGGATTGTGCTTTGGCCCCTCATGGGTTTTCTAATAAACCCAGCCGAGTCCACCTGCACTTAACAGGGCCTGTCCCCTTTGCCTCAGCTACAGCCAGTGGCAAAGGGCCAACAGAGGTTGCCATGGCAGATGTACCCAGCGGAGGGCCTGCAGTTCGTCCGGCTGTAAATCCTGACACCAAACAATGACGATTCAGGCCGAGTTACATGCACCTCAGCATTTCCCAGGCAATGGCCCTAAGTCACACTGCCCCCAATGGCCGCAGGGGCAGGCCACAGTGACTGAGCGGAGTGGGGGGGCCTATGCAGAGCATGTCCGGCAGGTATGCTTTCTGCCAGGGGCCCAGCTGCCAGAGACGTCGGGGGGGGGGGGGGGGTTTGGGGAGGGG